AAAAAGCATCATTTAGTTTTGAACTATTGAAAATAACTTACTTTCTCTCCGAATTCGATTACAGCTTTCTCTATTTTATCAAAGAAGTCTAGAATCAGAAATGCACCCCTATAAGGTGTGGTGTATCATGGATTAATGCACTATGCAAACGAAAAGTTAGCCTTCAAGAACATCACATATGTAGAGGTATCTCAATTGGAGCCATTATGGTAAAAGTATTAAGGAACATTATATTAATTAGGCTCTCATCGATTGATGAAAGTCAACCCCTCACAATCGATTTTGGTTTTCGTTCTGGTAAGGGATGTAATGGTGGTTTATATGTCTGTCAAATAACTCTAAGAAATGGCATAACTTTCCAATAGAAAATTATATATCTATTATGTCGACTTCACAGCAACGTATAACCGCATAAATAGAGACTTCTTCTCATCCATTAGAAACTGCCTTCCAATTTCCGAATCCATCGAATGCATCGATCTAATAGAGAAACTTTATCGATACGGAAACATTTCAAACCCCCTCAAGGGTACGACAAGGAGGAAATGAGAGCATCTTGAACAAAACATCTACATCCTCTACGCAGTGTTCCAAGAAATAGGACTCAAAATAAACCTTTCCAAAACAGAAACTATGATCTTGAATTAGAATGAAAGTAGTGATGGTATGTACCTTGAAACTAGAATAACCATTGAGGATGTGGAATTATAAATACTAAAACATTTAGATATCTCGGCCTATGGATCAGTTATAACAAAATTTATTACAGGAGGTAAGGAAATTTAACATAGAATAGACTATGGTAGGGGTAGTTTTGGCGAACATCGAAAATTGCTACTAAATCAAAAAACAATATCCGGAAAACTGTAGTCATTTTTCATATGTAACCTCGTCAAATCGAAATTTCATGCATGGTGTAAAAACCGTTCAGAAATATCTAAACTGTCAGCTCTATGCAACCGCTTTCTAAGATCAATGGTTAAAAACAGCTTTGAGCGAGTGAAGCCTATGGGGTCTTGTGAAGCCCATAATTCTTCGAACGTTGTGAACTGGAATTACAGGGTCACAAAGAAAGAATACCAAATGACAAAAATCACATCACTTGAGGACTTTCAACAGCAGCAAAATCTGAAATGGATAACACATGATAATGATCTAAATCTAAGTGTCGATTATAGCTACTTAAATTTAGATCATTATCAATACGGTTTAATATGATATCGAGGAAAGATAATGTATTGTTTGCTTTTGTTTTATTAATAAATACGATAGAGATTGTTTAGTTTATTTACAAGATCAGGTAATATTGTTTGGCAAAGTTATGTTAATAAAGCATCATCAGTATATTGGAAATATGGTGATTGTTTAGGTAAAATAATTTGGAAGGGATCAATCACTAGAAATTATAACAAAAGACAAGATAAAACACTGCTAAGAAGTGATTCCATCAGTAATCGGAATTTTTATCTATAAAAATCATTATCGAAAATGAAATAATATTGGTTTTTAATGAGTCAGAAAACCTTTATAATTTTATCTATCGGTAGGAGGAGGAGGGGGTTAATTTTTGATTCTATTAGATTTTTTAAGAGATTCAAGTATTTGTTAATAGGTGCATTAGTTTTATAGGGATCAGATAATCTGCCATACTTATGACTTTTATCTTTCGACAAGGACGCCGGAATTTTTATAATTTCAAGGGCTAATTGTTCCAAGAAGTGACGTTAAGATTTTTACTGTGGCTTTCGCTAGTCTGTGGAAGAACTATCAATTCAAGACATGACGGGTCGATCTGAAATGGATACATTGTGTGCTTTGAGTAGGCCATAAAGTTTGAGTATATTAGGATCATATTTGATTAATTTTGACCATGTCATGTTCTCTTTTTAACAAAATATTTAATGACTTTTTTGAATGTTTGTGTTTCAGGAATTATTTCGCATTCATGGATTTGATTTGGGTTTGAAGTTTCTTTTGATTTGATATTGTTGGCTCGTTTTTTAACTTAAGAGGCTTTAGGTATTCTCTTCGTCAATATATATATATATATATATATATATATATATATATATATATATATGTAAGTTTGTTTCTACTTGCGCGCTATATGAATATGACTATATGCCAAAAGTTGGCTCGACTTAGATTTCCGTATAAGATACAACCTCTAGCACAGACATTATCGGCACCAATAGGACTTTGAGAAATCAGTTTCGGTAAACTTACACATTTCGGTGTAGGTAACATGCTGTCTAAGTAGTCCACCACTAGAAGTGGTTTACCTACTTCACGCCGCTGGCGAGTATCGTATTTTGTTGATGTTATAAAGATTACCGTTTCATTACCAACCTCCCTTTTGGTTATTCCTCATTCAGTAACCTTTTCTAGGTTACAACAATATTAGCTTGTTTATTAGCACAAATATTATGACTAAAACCAGAAACTCTTTATAGTTACTTGAAGAAAAGTATGAATCCATTTATTCTCTCAGTTATGTTTAAAATAGCAAGTCAGACTGAGCTCTTTAGTCGTGATTGGGATACAGTATCGAATAAGAACAACTATGAATTCAAAACTGTCACGTAAAACCGTATAAAACTAGTTATACATGGGCTGCAGACACCATGTCTGTAAAAAAAATTATAGATCAACAGACTGGAGAGTGATTATCTGGACTGCTGTTAGCACCAATGGGCACTGAGCCTAAGAAAATTACTGAAAAAATAATGGCATTTCAAGTAGGTTGTTAACAATCGATGCGTTTTTATTTCCATTAACGAACGGACCTTTTTCGGTTGAGAAAATGCTAGATAATAGAGCAACGGTATGAAAAACTGCAGCTAAGCAAATGAGGAAAGTGTTGTTAAGCATAGAGTAGATCAATTAGTTCGCAGCCTAATGCTGAAAATGCATTTATTTTACATGACAAATATTTGTTCAGCTCCAGAGCCGGGCAATGTGCATTTGAACTCAGTGGAAACGTTACAAGCATTAACTGAGCAGTACTAAACTGATAACTAGACGAGATATCCCTGCACCAAGAACAGTCTACATCCATTGATTAAATAAAGTATTCAGTTCGAAATTCAATGAAGGTTACACACAGATCGATAAAGATCTGATGAAGGCCGAAAGGCATAAATACTGAAACGTTGTGATAACAATAACAAAGATGAAGACAATAATCTGCGTATAAATAATATAAATAATGATAAATTTCCATCTCTGAAATTCAGACAAAAATATTTGTTTATCAACATAATATGCTTTTTTGAAGAGGTATATAAGTAATTGTTACAATAAACAATGAATATTTCACATAAAAATTCATCTAACAGGGACGTGTCAGGCTACGTACTTATTGATCCACCCTCGTAGTAAACAGTCATGTTAAAATTGGATTACATTTGAGTTTATTTTAAATTAAAATTGTCATGTTATATATTTACACAGTACATGTCTTGAAAAAGTCATAGTCGTATCAAATATTGTATGGCATTTTACAGGAAGACCTCATTAGAAACAAATAAAAACGTACTTTATCTAATATCGGTTCTCTTATATGGCAGTGAATGCTGGACAATCTCCTCACAGATAAGGAGAAAAATTGAGTCGCCAGAAGTAGTTCTACAGAAAGCTGTTGAGAATTCTATCAACTGAATATGTGAGTAACAAAGCAGTTTTAGTGGGAAATGGAAACAAACAGTACCCTTCTATTTAGAATCAGAAAGAGATAATTGAAATTTCTAGAGCACATAACAAGGAAAGAGAGCTTGGAGAATTTGATACTCAAAGGATTTATTCAAGGTAAGATAAACAAAGGAAATCAGAAAATAACGCACTGACCTAACGAGCTTGTGTAAATGGTTGGCAGAACAGGGAATAGGAGACATAGTAAAAAGATACATTATATTAAGAGCTACAAAGATAGAAAATTATTGAGAGCCATGATCGCCAACGTCCTGAAGGTACACGCCACATAGAAGAAGATGATTTTATCATTTATAATGATTCGTGGCAGTTTTATATAAAGTTGTGTGGGAAATATCTATAATATTCTGAAACGTGTTTCCAATCACAGTCTTCTTTCACGAATGTTTATCTAAAGACTTAATTTTGCTAATGCGTTTGTTTAACGCCACTTTGTAATTACGTTGGAGTGCTAATCAACATTTTATTTTAATTTTAAATGACGTGACATCGAATAAAAGCAGATTAGTCTTCTAATGCATATATGACTTACGCAAATATATTTGCTGGAAATATATTCAGAACTCAATATTTATGCCAAAAAGTGATTGCATAATAATGATTTGCTGTCTATTTAAAAAAATAACATGAAAATAGTTTTTAAATTTTACCTCTAACCTCAAAAGTCTTTAGTATATACTTTTACTTCATTGATAATATTTGTTTTTACTATTTACAGGGGCTTGTCTTAATGGGGCATCTAGTCAATGCGAGGAGATGAGGCCATGAAAATTGTGATGCGCTACATTCTGGGTGAGTTAACGTTTCCTACATAAAAAAAAATAATCAATATTTAAATTCCTCACCAACTACGTGGACACGAACACCAACTTCTGGCACGTCTCAGCTACGAAGCAGTCCCAGTAACATGTTTTCTTGCTTTCTCAATAATTAAAATTTATAAAACTGTAAATTATAAACAAAATTACATCTAATCTTTGGATGAAAACGTGAAAATAGATTTTAAGGTTGATTGATTCGTTTTTGCAGCCTATCAATCTTTTGCAAATTATTCAAAGGCAGAAAATATTTTCAAATTCTAAGAATGTTTTGGAGATAATAATGATTTACTAATACACGTCATACTAATTAACCCCTAGCTGGAGAAAGAATCAGTGGATTTATACTTTTCCCAAAGGTATTTGCGCATAAGAGAATATAATGAACCCGACTGGAATTGGAACTCGGCTCTTCGATTTTCAATTCCGAACTGTTATCCATTACACCACCTGCACATCCGAGCTTCCGAGCTTACAGTGCCTGGTACTCACAAACGGTCGCCCATCTACGTACTGCCTATACTCGACGTTGCTTAACTTCGGTGATCGTATGATAACCTGCGTTTCAACATAATATGTCTGTAAGAGTTCTTTTAAGTTTGATATCTCACCTTTGGAGGAAAACAAAAACATACAGGGTGCGGCAGAAATACCTCCCACATAATGGTAAGACATTAGCTAGATGAAGCCACTACTGCCACTAATGACTTATCATTATATGGGAGGTATTTCTAGAAGGTATAAGCGGAACGTATTTCTGTCATACCTTGTATCTTTAAAAAGTGATGTAATTTTTTTTATGAAAACTTATAAAAATAGCTTTTAAAATTGGCATCTAATCTTTTGGTGAAAACTTGTGAAAATATATAAATTTACCATTAAAGTTTAGGTCAGTTTGACACAATGCTTTTGTCTAATGTGAGACACATCGTGAGAATCTGCCTCATTAAGGTAACAATGGTCTTGCTAACTTTAAAGCGCCTTTTAATTTACTATTATTTAATTATACTCATGGAACCAAGAATTGACAATTGCCTGATGCGTTCATAAAGAAACCAAATGATAAACGGTCGAATTACTGCTTTTATTTTACATTACTTGCTAACCAGATGCTTCCTTCATAGCTAAACTGGTATAGCATGTCAGGCTATATGCCGGTTTCGTGTAGGATACAGGTTCGATTCCTGTCGGAGGACATATATTTTCTATGAAATTTCTCGGACATTCAGGCCGGTAAGTATTGTTAATACTGTTTATTATAAACAAAACATTTACTTGAATATTTGTGTCTATATAAATAATATATAACATTAAAATAATTGTTGGACTTAGTTAATTTCATAATATATATATACATACACACACACACACACACACACACATATATATAACACTTTGATGATCATTAAGATAAAACTATGAGAAACTTTAAGTAATTTAGAAGTGTTAAATAACGATAATTGAAACGTATCATCGGACTTAGTGTTGAACACAAACAAAAGTTATTAAGCTGTAAGCGATATAAACATTTCAAATGTAATCGCTACCTACCTGTGCTGCTGCTTCTCTCTCCAGCATAATCCTTTCCGCTAGAGTTCTATTATCATTCTTCTTTTTCTTCTTCTTCCGAAACTTCGGCCCCTTTCGTGATTCCATTTACGTTTTTATTAATTTTATTTTTCCTTGCAAAGAAATCTACAGAAAAGACAAAGTCAGTCCAGCTACTTTGTTGGTCGTGGAGTTGCCATGTGAAACAATCAGGAAAAGGTTTGATAGTTCATCAGCTATATACCCAACTTGATGCTAGTTCGAAGGCCGTGCGCTCAGCGTGCGACTGCAGCTTCGATCGCTCGATTCTGTCCACTCCAGTGAACTAACTGCCAATGGAGTTGGGTTTTTTTTTCTGTTACTTAATCCGATGCACAAGCAACAAGTCATTCCTGCTTTGCACAAGTAACTACAAATACCTGGTAACCTGCCTCGGTGAACGCCTACATCAGACAACTTTATGACAAAAATGATAATAATAATAATAATCGTTCCATCAATAACAAAAAAGCAGTAAATGATAAAGAGATAAAGACATTAGATACACTCAACGCTAACTTTGAATAACAATAAAGAAGCCTGTACTCACCCTTTCCCTTCCCCTCTCTCTCTTCTCTCTCTCTCCTCTCTCTCTTCTTCTATCTCTCTCTCTCTCTATCTCTCTCTTTCTCTCTCTGTATGAATGTATTTTCTCTCTTTGAGTGCCTACTGTGTATCTGTTTTTGTCTTTTTCCATTTTTTTTTCAAGCTTATTTGCCAATAAGCCATTGATAAAGTTCTGGTGTTTATTTATCAGCTCTGCGCACTGAAGCAGCTTTTCTTTCATCTCCAACACTATTTCTCTTCTTTCTTTCTCTCTCTCTCTCTCTCTCTCTCTCTCTCTGTTTTGATTTTCCTTTTCTCTCTCTCTCTCTCTCTCTCTTTCTCTCTCTCTCTCTCTCTCTCTCTCGTTAAGCGTCTCCTCTCATTTGATCTACAAACTTTTCACTTTTTCTTTCTTTTTCTCTCTCCTTCTCTTTATCTCTCATACACATGCACTTCTTTATCTTTGAGTTACAAGACAAATTTTTCTTTCTTGTCCTTCATTCTCTCTCGTTAGGCATCTCCTATCTTTGATTAACAAGACCTTTTTACCTTTGCTTTTCACTCACTCGGAGTGTTTCCTCACTATCATTTTGCCCTTATTTTACTGGTATATTTAATTTACCGATAATAATATCGATTAAGTTCTTGTGTTTATTTATCCGCTCAGCGTATACACTGGGATATACTTTTATATGATCTAAGTGTCCTAATATGAGGACAATAGTCCGAATAATGTAAATAATGAAGATTCTCCCACTTTCTTTTTCTCTATCCTAGAGCGTCTCCTCTCTACCGTTTATCTAGAAGACTCTCTTTTTTTTTCTTCTCTCTTAGAGCGTCTCTTCGCTACCTTTTATCTAGAAAACCCACTCTCTTTCTTCTTCTCTTTCTTGAGGTATCTCCTCTTCGCCTTTTATTTAGAAGACTCTCTCTTTCTCTTAGAACGTCTCTTCTCTACCTTTTATCCAAAGACTCTCCCTCTTTCTTCTCCTCTCTTTTAGAGCGTCACCCCTCTACCCTTTATCAAAAACTCCCGCTTTCTTCTTCTGTCTCTTAGAGCATCTACCCTCTACCTTTTATCTAAAAGCATGTCTCACTTTCATTTCCTTTCTCTTAGAGCGTCTCCTCTCTACCTTTTATCAAGGCTCTCCCTCTTTTTTCTCCCCTCTCTTACAGAGTCTCTATCTTTTATCTAAAAGACTCTTCATTTTTGTCTTCTCTCTTTTAAGCGTCACCTTGCTATCTTTTATTTAAGAGATTCTTTCTTTTTATTTCTCTTTTCTTTTAAGTTCCCTTAGACAAGTAGAAAGAAAAAGATTATTGATCAGCAAGAATATTTCTTTTCTTTTTCTCACTCTTAGGATATCTCCTCTCGATCTTTATCTACAAAACTCTTCCTCTTTCTTTCTTTCTTTCTTTCTTCTTCTTCTCTCTCTTAGGGTGATTCCCCTCTATCTTTATCTATAAGATACTTTCTCTTTCTCCTTCTCCCCCTTAGTTCATCTCTGCCTTTGATATACAAGACTCTTCCTCTTTCTTTCTCATTCTCTCTAAAGAGTGTTTCCTCCCCATCTTTTATCTATGGGACTCTTCCTCTTTCTCCTTCTCTCTATTAGTCTCCTCTCTATCTTTTATCTACAAGACTTTCCTCTTTCTCATTTTCTCTTTCTCAGAGAGTTTCCCTTATATTTTTACCTTTAAGAATCTTCCTCTTTCTCTTTGTCTACTCTCTATCATTTATTTACAAGACACTTCCTCTTTCTTTCCCCTTCTCTTTCTCGTAGTGTTTCCTCTCTATCTTTTTATCTACGCGACTCTATTTCTTTCTCCTACTCTTAGAGCGCTTTCTCTCTATCTTTCATCTACAAGGCTTTTTCTTTTCCACATTTCTTAGTTATGATTTATTCGCTAAAGGTTTTATTCATTTCAAAAAATTTGTTATTGAAAAAATCGTTCCAATATTGCGTGATTTTTTTCAAGTTATATTTCTGTTTGATGTGGAAAAGGACGAATTTTGGGGATAAGTATTAATTCAAATTTTAAAGTCATCACGTTTTTCGACAGGTTGTTTAATAAGAAGCAATCTTTGACACGGAATCTTAAAATATCCAAGAATAAACAAATATACAAGAAAATTCCAATAGAATGAATTCATTGTGACTTTCAATGTTTTTTTGTTTTTTTTTTCAATTTCGAGATAGATTTTCTTTTTCTTTAATTTTTTGAATTCCAAAATTCAAGAACCTTCAAAAAGAAAAAAAAAATTATTTCACAAATTTCCGAGTCATCAAATTTGAAAATAAAATTAGAAATTTAATTACTTTGGAGGTCAGACGTTTCTGACTTTTTATGTTTCAAATATTTTTTCATAAAATCTTGTTATTAAGATTAGTCGCGTGTATAAGTTTTTTAACATTTTTTTAAATTATTGCGTATTCGAGTTTCTAGTCGTCTAATTCTCGTTCTACTGTATTCTGACTGTGAATATATTTTTTATTCTGACTAAACCACATTGACTTACCTCTATTTTCGATCTGAATCTACACCGATCTCTATTCAATATTATCCTAATTATTACTTTTGCTACTTAGCTCATCAAACTGATTGTTCGATGAGGAACTCGTTTGCACTTGGTGTCTGGCAACACGTTGAAAATTGATCTTAATATAAACCTATAAATTCGTATTCAGTGTATTGTTTGTGCTTTTAAACTACCATTAATCTTTCCATCCAGCCCTGATTTTATTGAGTAGCTATTGTAGTTATTTTTCAATCACGTTATTTCATATAATGTTTCAATCTTTATCAAGAGTAATTCTTACACTATGGAAGAGTGGTTTATTATTACAAGCATTCTTTTCACTTCATATAAAGTCGACTTTCAGCATATTATTCTTATTTCTGTTGTTTTTGTTTTTTTGTGGCCACTTTCAGGTTGCAATTCTACGATGTAATTTGTTGAGTAAATTGCATAGATAGGAAACAAAGAATAAATTTCTGGCAAGATTTGAAGTTGAATCCTTATACATAGAACCCTGTCTTACCAATTAGACTAACAGGGTTGACCAGAAAATATTTACTTCTCTCAACAACATGCATCGCCATCTTGTTTGCTTATAATTTTTACGCGAGTAATATTAAATGTAACAGTATTCAACGTTCCTTAGTGATCCGGGTATTTTTTTCAATATTCCCCACTTTATTAACATCATTTAGACTTGCTTTGTTTTTTGGTCTTTTTTACTCCTGATTTATACTTGTTTCAAATTTAAATATAGTCATGGCGACCTACCAAATTCCATTTCATGAATTAGTATGGGTAAGAAACGGAATTTAAGTAATCTTAATGCGACATGTTCGCTGGTACTGGACGGAGTGTTATGAGTATTTAAAAAATTGCTGATCAATTTTGATTATCATGTAAAAACATCTCTAGGGTTTACAGTGAAAGAGCGGCATTTTTGTGGACGGAAATCTTTTGTCGATAAAAGCGGTCGAAGGAAAGTGGCCAGATTTGTTTAAGCAGATAGGTAACAGTAGCTCAAATAACTACTCTTTGCAAAGGAGGTATACAGAAGAGCATCTCAGAATGGACAATGCGTCGAACCTTGAAGCAGGTGTGCTACAGCAGAAGAATACTATGCCGGGTGTTACTCTTGTCAGATAAATACAAGCAACTATGGCTACAATTCCATAAGGATCACAAAAGATGAATAATAAAAGATTGGAAAAACGTTTCTGATTTTTGCTACAGTAATCGAATGGTAAGGTTAGAATTTGGCGTAAATAATATGAAAATAAAGTTTACTACAGTTTTGTATCAACGGTTCAGGTTGCTATTTGTAGAGTAATGGTATATGGAATATTTTCTTGGCTTACATAGGGACCCATGTTACCGATAAAAGATCACGTGCCTCAATTTATGACTACAGTATACCAATACTTTGGTGGCAGCTTAATGCATGATAACGAACTTTATCACAAATTAAAAAAAATAGTGAAAACAGACGTGCAGCCAGTTAATGAAAAAGAACAGTAGGACTTTATAAGAATAGCCAATTTTGAAAGGATGCACTCAGAACATCATCAAATCCTTGCAATGGATTATGACTGTTGTAAAGGCAAAAGTGGTTTTATCCCTGTACTAATAAATCGAATTTCTTCTTCTATGAGTACTGTCTCTTAAGGTTGTTGGCGATCGTGGCATTCCACAATTTCTTTTGTCTTTTGTAGCCCTAAGTAAATTTCGTCTTTTTGTTATGTTTCCTAAACTCTGTTCTGTTATCCATTTAAACGAGCTCTCATTAGGTAGGGGTTATTTGCTTTTTTCCTCTGTCCCTTGTGTTTTCACTGTGTCCTGAGAATGTTAGATTTTCCAAGTCTTCTTTCTTCATTATGTGCCCTAAAATTTTCAACTGTCTCTTTCTGATATTAAGTATAAGTGTCCAGTTTGTTTCCATTTCCTCTAAAACTCCATCGTTGATTACATGTTCAGTTCATGGTATTCTCAGCATCCTTCTGTAGAACCATATTTCTGTCACCATGACTCTCGACAATAAATCGAGCAGTGAGTTTATATAGATAAAATTGATGTGATGGAACAAGAAGAAAATGAAAATGTTACTTTTTAAAACTTATTTAAGAAAAAATGAACAAAGTTAACCTGCTGCAGAAAAAAATTAGGTCATCCCAATGCCCTAATTTCGGTCCCACAGTACCTCACTAGGATTATGATCCAGGTTTTGACTATTGCAGAACTTTCAAATTCTTTCTTTTGTGCCAATCTTTAGTGGATTTACTGGAATGTTTTGGGTCACTGTCATGATCCATGGTCCACATCTACTTAAACATCAATTTTCTGACAGATGGTATCATATTTGCCTCAAGCACCCTCTGGCACAATAAAGAATTCATTAACGGTTTCTATAATGATGAAATGTTATTATTGCATTTTAGAATAAAGATGCCTTCTCTCGAGAAGGTGACGTGCAAAATTTTTTCAAATTATTTTTCAGTGTCAGATTGTCCTCAGATTTAAATCTGTAGTGAATGAAAGATTATTGTATTGTCTTAATACGATAAGCCCTACAAACATCTTCACTTCTAACAATTCATTGATTGATTGATTTTTTTTTCTACGGCTTATCAATCTTTTGTGAGGTTATTTAAAGCTGGAACATATTTGGGATTGTAAAAATAATTCTATTTTTATTTTTTGCAATTGAATATTGCATTAACAATTATTGGGAGATTTTTCAAATACAAATCATACTATTAAACCATTAACTAGAACAGAGAAGAAATTGATTCATGCATTTTTCAAGTGTATTAGCGCCCAGGTAAAGGTAATTAATTTGACTGACATTATTTCTAACAAACAATTAAAAAATGACATTGAACTTATTAGAAAACAAAATTGAAAATTTCAACAAAACAAAATGTTTTAGAACATCTTTAAAGTTTAGTATGACTAAATAGGATGCTTTACATAGGTGCTGAGTTGGTTCGTCTGAAAGTGAGAGTGTAAAGTTCTTGTGTTATATGTATATATGTGCATGTATAACAATATGAAATACGTAGATAGTACCGGCTTAATGGCAAACATAGAAGGAAACCAGCAGGAAATCTGAAACAAGGTAGTATACGAAAACAGAAAGAAAGACCTGACAAATCGTTTATAAGAAGACAAAACGTGTGGTTTGATGACCCAATATACGAGCTGCGAATTGAAGGCGTCAGAATCAAGCATGTACAGAAATTTAACAAACTTTCTTTTGGTAACTGAATAGCAAAATCCTATGTGACGCGTTTCCTCCATTAAAAAGGACTTAACTTATTGAAATCCTTTTGAAGGACTGTTGAAACTTGACTAATGCATGGAATAATAATGCAACACAAAATGTACTTAGAACAAAATGTATTGAAACAAGAAAGTGTACACAATATTTACATATAGTCTTTTGTATATTCCTGGTAAGACCGTTCCTGGAGAATGTGTTGACTGAGTCGCAGTCGGGCAGAGTCTCTGGTTGAATCTCTTGATTCCTGTATTTATCTATCCACCCACGAGGATAAAATGTGGCACAAGGCCGGTTTAAAGTGGGTATCTCCGAGCCCGTAGGCTCGGCCAAAAATATGGACTTTCTGAACCCGCCTAGACGGGTTCAAGGCCTGTCTACCACCCCGGACGAAACCCTGCCTCTCGGCAAAGCCTCGTCCGGGTCCCTCACTGCAAAATGCAGAGAGTTCGACTGAGAGTGGATCTCTTGATTCCTCCATCTCTTCCCGGTACCAACCATATTTATATGGTCGGTACTCCACTATGCAAATTAGGTGGATCCTACCACAACAAGGACGAAACGTGCTGGGTAGGATTTTTCCTATTTCGTTATTCAATTACCCACCATTATTCTGATATATAAAGAAATATATCATATTTTCTTAATCTTTGTCATCTGTAAATTTCTAGGTTTCTAAGGACAGATAATGGAGCAGTTTTCCCATTGCCCTATCAACGCTTTTGAATTCAGAGTTGTCTTTTATTTAGACTGGCTGCACCCCCCCCCCTCACACACACACACCTTAAGTTATTTAAACTAAATCTGGGAGAAGAGGAAATTGATTCATGTCTTTTGCAAAGACATTAGCACGAAAGTCATCAGACTACGCGGAGATTTGAATTCGGCTCACACATTCCAATGTCAGCACCGTTAACCGTTACGATACCTGCACATCCAATACAAAATATGCATAAGTTTAACATTTAAAAATATTGAAAAAATTCAAGCCTGAGCTCGGTCGTCTCGAAAAAGTATGTTGGTTTCTTTCAATGTTCATGGATATACTTGCTTAACAACTATATTCACTGAAGTGAATGACGATGAATCGGGACAT